CTAGTATGCACACGTGAGAACATCTGTGCACACGGAAATGAGATAGTCAGGCTCATATACCCAGGCACACCCAGCCCATGCACCCAAGCCAAGGCAATACCAAGGTCCATTCTTTGTTTAGGGCACTGTCTGCAGGTAGGCAACAAAGACACTCAAGCTGCGAGTGGGCACCTTAATTATTGAGGAGAGGAGAATGGAGAATGGAGCTTCTCCTTCTTGCATCTTGGTGGGATCTCTGTGCTGCCCTAGGGAACCCCTCACCAAGGCCTAGTTCACAAGGACAATTAATTTAAATAACAGCCTTCTGCGAAAGTGGTAAGATTGCTGTAGCAAGGGTGTTTCTAAACAGGGTATTGAGGTCTGGCTGGATGCACAGGTCTTGTCCTCTTCTACATTTCCCAACATAGGACCAGCATCCCCTGCCTCCATGAACAGAGCCATCTGGGCACAGGTGGAACTCATACATCTCAATCTGTAAAATGGGGATAACATAGTTGGCCCTTTCTATCTGCAGGTTCTGGATCCAAAGACTCAACCAACTACGGGTCAAAAGTATCTGAAAAAAATGCTAAGCTGAACATGTACAGAGTGTTTCTTGCCATTATTTCCTAAGCAATAGAGTATAAAAGCTGTTTTGCATGGCATTTGTGTTGTATTCTGTATTATAAGAATCTAGAGGTGACTTAAAGTACATGGAAGGATGTATGCAGCTCATATGCAAATAATACATTTTTATACAAAGGACTTGAGGACCTGGGCATTGTTGTATGTTGTATGTGCAGTGGTAGAGTTGTGGGGAATGTTAGATACTGAGGATACTGAGAGATGAATGCAGTACACATTTTCATCTGCCTCACAGGATTGTTATGTGACCAAGACGAAGATCATATCCATGAAATTGTTCTTCATTTCCTCAAGTATGGGGAAGGGATGAGCTGGCTATTAGGAGAAGTCTCTAGTTGCTGTGCAAATCTGGAAGACCTTGGCTGGAGTCCCTTATGTGACCTTGGGCAGAAGGCCTAACCTCTGCTCCCTGATTTTCCCCTCTATAGATTAGAGATAACAATGCGGCTATGGTCTTAATGTTTGTCCCCCTCAAAAACTCATATTTTGAAATCTTATCCCCCAAGATGATGGTATTAGGAGGTATGACCTTTGGGAGACTCTTGAATGGAGTTGGTACCCTTAGACGAGAGGCCTGAGAAAGCCCCTTCCTCTCTTCTACTATGTGAGGACACAGTGAGAAGGCACCATCTCTGAGCCTATCCAGATGCCTATCCAGATGAGCCAGTAAACAGGCTCTTGCTGGACTCTGAATCTGCCTGCACCTCAATATTGGACTTCCTAGCCTCTGGAATAGTGAGAAATGGCTTTCCGTTGTTCATAAGCCACCCAGTATTTTGTTACACCCCAAACAGACCAAGACAAGCATCTACCTCCATCTTCTTGTACAGGCCTGGTGGTCAGCATATGTAAAAATGCCATACAGTTGTTAGCTTATACAAGAGCCTGTCACACTGTATTGTACCGGCCTTCCCTGGGATGGTGTTGGAACTAAGTAGGAAATAGGCTGGCAGTTGAGGTGCTGGCAGTCTAGGATTTCGACCCCACTGAAGCTGTGCCCTTCTAATGGAATATCAAGTCTTGTGGTAGCTAACACCTGACCTGTTGAACAGGACTCCCTGGGGCTGTGACATCTCTTTCCTGGACTTCATGATCAGAAAGAGGACAGTCTGGGTGGTTCTTCTAGAAATCTAACCACTGTGGTGGCTTTATGATAAATCCAATCTCCACCTTTCCTTTCTTCTCCATAGTATTGAAGCTTTCCCATAAATTTGGTACAGGAGACCCTAGACATCCTTGAGGAATGTTGGCTCTGAGGCCTTCTTGCATCTCTACATTGTCAACTGCACAGTGCCCTGTGGCACTCCAGACTTCTCTGCAAAACAAGGCAGCATCTGGCTCTCAGGAAGTGGTCAAAATGCATGGAGAAAGCTGTAGCCAGACTGAGAGGTAAGGCCAGGCTACAGCTTGGCTCCTCCCTAACCAAGAAGCTCACTGCTGTTCACCAGCCTCACAGCACATGGGACTCACTGTCCTGCCTCAGGAAAATGGCAAAGGCCACATGAACAGGGCCTTTGGGGTCACTCATGAATGGCTAAAATGAAAATGTTGTGTCCAGGAATGCCATCTGGAAATCTCTTATGACAAGTGTCCCAAATTCTGCACAGGAATTGGAAGCCATGGCTCACACAGGGCTAAGTCCCAAATACGTCATACATTCGCATCCCAGGCCAGAACTCCACTATGTCTGCCGCTGTCTCCTGGGTCCCCATCTGCTTTTGTGACCAATGGAACTCACATAAGTCCCATGGGAATGTCCCAGAAGTATAGATGAAATGGTGTGTGAGAATATCCACAGCCCCAGCCAGCTTTTCCTGGGCTCTGTCCAGCACAGGGGAGCTGGCTGGACAGTTAGAGAGGCCATGACCAACATGTGGCCCGCTGGGCTAGGGAGAAAGGGAAGAATGTGCTGAACTGTTCCAACCTCCTCAGAGCTGTGGCTGCCAGATGTAGGGGCTGGCCAGGGCTCGATTCTGCTCTCTTCTCTAAGCCCTGCCTATCCAGATGTCTCCAATGGCTGAAGTCAGGGAGAAGAGCCAGGTCCCTGAGCCTCAGAGGGGACAGGAGCAGCCCTACCTTTTATATCAATGCCAGTCACTTTTCTCCCCATAGGAGGAGATGGTCCAAACATTTGTTCTTCCCCAAAATGCTTGTTGAGATCAACATGCAAGCAGGCCCAGGGGAAACTATAATGGAACATTGTCTTCCAAGTTCCGAGCTGTCTCCCAGGACTCCAGAAGGCCAGCTGTGGCTGCCTGCCTAGCAAGAGCCCTGAGCAGATTTCTACAGCATGGTTAGGATTTTCACTGTCAGTATAACTGACACCTCAGCTGGTGGACACGTGAATCTCTCATCTGATCAGGAGGCTGCATGCTATAGGAATCCCAGGTTCTAGTCCACCTCAGCCAACAGCTCGTGTCAGGGAGTCCTTGTGTATAAAATACAGATGAACAATGTCTTCTCTGATTACTTTGGGGGCTCAAATGAAATAAATGATACAAAATTATCTGGAAGAAGGAATGAAAAGGCATATGCATGGAACACCTACCATGTGCCAACTGTCTTCTGCAGCCTATATGTAGCTATTTTGCCCCCATCTTAAAAATGAAATTAAATGATATGCTCCAGGACTCACAGTCAGTGGTGAAGCCACATCATCCAGAACCTGCCACACAGGCCTCATCTGGGAGTGGAGCTTGAAGAAATGCAAAATCTCAGACCATGCCACAGAGCTGGGAGACAGACCCTATGTGCTGAACATGATGTCAATATTTTTCCATGTGTGTAAATGGAAGCCTGGACAGTACCCTCCACAGCCCCAGCCTGACCTGCAGCCAGTTCTTCCCAGAAAGGAGACAGAAGAAACCCTTCCTCCTTCCCTGGTTAGTTGTTGGTTCAGGAACTTGCTCCCAGGATGTGTTCTCTAGTTGGGAAATCTGTTTGAAGCCTCTGCCCTCTGCATTTAATGCTGCCAGACTCTCACAGGGTGTGACTGGCTTGCTTGGACACAGAAGCCACTCCTGCCAGGGTATCCATAAGTGACTTGATCTCGGGGCTGGCATGTAGTGTAACTGTCAGCTACAGCTGCATTGACTGTGCACCTTCTTCCCCCAGGAGCTTTCCAGTCATTTAGCTCTGCCACAGGCTTGCAGCCAAAATTAAGAGTCTCCTCTAGTCCCTTAAAGCTCTCCACCCACCCAAACACTCTGGCTCACTGTCATTCAACAGAGACCGAGTGGGGAGCCCCCAGCTCATCCTTCCTGCCTGCTACCCTCCTTCATGATGGAACAGCATCTTCCTTCAGAAAGAAGCCAGCTGGGACTAGGGGTGACAGGCCTTCCTTTTGGTGTTTTGCAGGGTGTGCCCAGAACAAAAGGACAGTGATCACAGAACACTGCAGACACTCAGACTCATCTAGGAGCCGGGCTCCCAAGCCTTCTCCCACCTCCAGCAACAAGCCAGTCCCCAGGAAGCTAAGCCAAGTGAGCCTATCCAGTGTGGGAGCTGGTGGCAGGATAGCCCAGTGGTTAAGTGCCTAAGCCTTGGGTTCAAGTGCAGGCTTTAATAGTTACTAACTGTATGGCTTTGAACAAAGTAATCTACCTTGCTGAGCCTCAATTTTTGATCTGTAAAATGGAGAAAATAATGCTCAATAATATCAACTTTATGTAATGATGATTTAATAAAAATGTTAATGAATATTAAAAATTCAGCAGATGCTTAACAAACAGTAAGCACTTAATAAATTACAGGCCTCATTATTATTATTCAGTAGGCCCATGTTAGACAGCTTTCCATCCTATAACAAATACCTGAGATATTCAGTTTATAAAAGGTCAGGGTTCATTTATGCTTCCACTTTTGCCACTGTCAGCCCTATTGCTTTGGTGCCAGTCTGTGGCTACACATTGTGGCAGGAGAGTATGGCAGAGTAAAGTCGCTCACCTCATGCCAAGAAGTAAAAACAAAAACAACAACAAAAAAAAGGAGAATGAAGAAGGGCCCAATATCTTCCTCGAGGGCACACCCCAATGACCTAAGGCTTCCTACCCACCTCTTAAAGTTTCCACCACCTCCCTTTAGCACCAAGCTAGGAACTAAGTCTTTAATACATGGGCCTTAAGGGACATCCAGATCCAAACTATAGCAACCCTGCCTCAGAGCAGATGAGTTAAAATGAAACTCAAGAATAAAGAAAAAGGTTATAAATAGGAGCCAATGAAGATGACTGCTCATTCCATCTTCCTGTATGCAGGGTATCTTAGTCTGTTTAGGCTGCTATAACAAAAATACCAAACACTGGGTCTCTTATAAAAAACAGAAATTTATTTCTCACAGTCTGAAGGCTGGAATTTCAAGATCAAGGTGCCAGCAGAGTTGGTGTCTGGTGAGCGCTCACTTTCTGGTTCATAGACAGCACCTTCTCATGTGTCCTTATATGGCAGAAGGCAAAGACAAACTCCTTTAAGCCTCTTTTATGAGAGCACTGATCCTAAAGCCCTCATAACTTACTCACCTTCCAAAAACCCCACTTCCTCATGCTATCATCATGGGGGTCAGGATTTCACCATATGAATTTCAGGAAGATAAAAACATTTGGTTCCTAGCACAAGGTGTTAGAGACACAAGGCATCAGTGGGAATCAGTGGCGGCCGCGCCCCGCAGTACTCACAGAGCGGAGGGGAGACTGGTGGGCCACAGCTAAGATGCAGAGGGTTAAGTGGTGCAATAGGATGAGAGGAGAGGTCATAGTAGCCCCAACCCACTGGCCACATTCAGACAAGCCCGGGAGCGGGCATACAGGGAAGTTTTCTGGAGGTGGGAGGAGATACTGGAACTGAGAACACTGAGACAGAGACACAGTAGGAGGTGAGTGGACTTGGAGAAGGCAGGGAGGGAGGGACTCCAGGCAGGCCAGCTCATTAAGGGCCTCACACGTGTGCCCAGGAGTTAGGACTTTACCCAGAGCCTTGGAAGACAGTGGGTACTCAATAAATACCATTGCTAAAGAAACGACTAACACTGAACTCTGAGGGATTTGAAGCTAGGGGTGACAGGGTCAAATTTTCTGTTCAGAAATCTCACTCTGGGTGATGGGGAGTGGAAGTGCCAAGGTGGGTGGGTCTGGGGAGGGGTGAGCCAGGTGCTGCCATCGCCAGGGGGACAGGCCCATGGGGCGGGAGGAGCCAGCACAGAGGAATGGAGAAGCGGGATGCAGTAGGGTGGGGCACCACTGGCTAGCACATGGTGGTGAAGTGTGGAAGATCAGTGTGCAGAGCAAGAGTAGCTGTGGGTCTGCAGGACAGGGAGGAGAAGGAGGCCCAGGAGGGGGCGGATGGGGTGAGGAGCAGGCAAGCGGGAAGGGCGGATTAGTCTGGCTCAGGAAGGTCTGAGAAAGGACCACTGAGGGAGACATGAACTAGGGGAGGAAGGAGTCCCTGGTGTCTATATAACACTGACAGCTTCTTTACCCCTTCAGCACCAACCTCAGGCCAAGCTCTGTTCTGAGAGGTGGGGAAAACAAAGAGGGGGTGCAGCCCCTGCTTGCAAGGTGTTCCCAGGCTGGGCTGTGCCTAAGAAGAATATTGTAGGTATTGCCTGAGCTGCAGAAAAAGGGACCGTGACTTGGAGCTTAGAAAGCTGCTGCTGGGAACTCAGAGTATAAAGGTGGCAAGACTCTCACTACATCATTCTGGCTCCCTGGAGGAGAGCCCCTGTGAATAAATTTGTTCAAAACCCTCTCTGAGCTCACAACTTGGTTAGACACTCAGGAGGAACCAAGATGAGGGTAGAAAAGGTAGGCTGGAGTGTGGACCTTCTGTCTGTTGGCAATTCCCCTTGGGGACAAGTGGTTTGTAAGAAATCAAAATCAAGACTCCTCCAATGGCACAATGCTGCACTTTATCTTCCAGCAGAGGACTTTTGCCTCCTAACAGCTCCCTGGAGTCCCTCTGCCCTTCAGGAAGTCTTGGATCTCTTTTGTAATGATCCCTAAGAGAGTCTGAAATTCATTCCCAGAAAACAGAGGAAATGAGAGGCACTGGGCATTGCCACGCCCTCCTCTGTGCTTGTAACAATGGGGCATCCTGCAAGATGGAATTCTGTGCCCTCTCCCCACAGCTAGGGGCCAACACATGCCCTCTCCACCCTCCCTGTGCCCAGATAGACACCTGCTAATGGATGGAAGGCCCAGGTACCCCAGCAGTTTGGCCAGGAAATGAGGGTCACAAATAGGAGGATGAGACCTCACACAGGATAGAAGAAGACTGAGCTGCTGGATAGAAGGAAGGCAAGCTTGCTCTGCCTTCCTCCCCCACCCTCCCAGGCCACTGACCCCTTTCTGTCTCTGGTCTAGGATCCCTGAGCTCAGGGTCTCAAGATGGAGTCCCAACAAGACAGAAAATGAGACTTCCCAGGGTCATGGGCCCTCTGTAAGACAAGATGACCACTACTACTACTGCCTTCCGGAAAGTGCAATCAGAAGGATCAGACCATTCCATCCTCTGCAGCAACTCCTTGTTCATTCACTCACTGAACATATCCTCAGCCCCTATCATGTGCCAGCACTGGGTTAGCCTGAGAAGAAGCAAACCAAGCATGGTCTCTGTCTCGGGAAGCCTGCAGTTGGAGTTGTGGCACACCAGCCATATGCCCTTCTTGGAGCTAGACTGCAGAGGAGACCCCAGGCTGAATGTCATTAGACCTCTGCCCTCACACTCACACTGCAGTGGGAGACATGGCTGGCCCTGGTGAGCTGTGACCTCACTAACAGCAAGGATCCCAAGAGACCGTGCCCATAACACATCCAAGCCTCTATATCCTACAAGGGAAGGGGTTTCCTCAGTCTTCTCCAGTTCTCTCTTGTCTCTCAATACCATTTGTAAAGATAGTCTTCCTGGTATCATACCTGAACCTCTCTAGCTGCAATTAAAAACAATATCCTGCTTTCTTCGGTCACAATGAAAGTCCTGTTTCATCTAGAAACTTGCACTCATGAGTGCAAAACTGAGGAAAGGGACTGAAGGCTGGGGAGGGGCCTAGGACTATGGCCCTGCCCCACCACCTGGATTATGACCACCAGACAGCACTCTACCTACCCAGGCCGACATCTACCATGTATGCCTTGTAAGGTTATGAGGGCCTCCTAATAGATGTAAAGTAATAGTAGCAGTAACAATCTTTCTTTTATTGAGTGCTTGCTGCATACTAAGCTCTAGACCAAGGGCTTTACACCTGTTATCTCAAGGAATTCTCCATGGGGAGAAGCAGAGAAATTGCTGATCTTTACACTGGTAATAATTAGCAAGTCACAAGTTTGAAGTCAGGGCAATTGCAAAGTTAGAAGTCCGAACTACCCAGCACTGGCTGTTGCTAAAGCATTTCACAGAATTGAAAAAGAGCCCATAGGTGCTCACAGTGATGATTCTCCCCAGAAGGCAAAGTCCTGTGTGGAAAATGCTTCAGGCCCTGAGTTCTGAAACCTGCATTCCTCTTCCCTCCCCCTGTTCTGGGTGGGGTCCCCTCTCCTCAACACATTCCCTTTACTGCAGGGAGTGAGATAACCAGGCATCAGCACTGTTGTTGCAAGATTCATTTATTTTAATAAAAGTTGAATCTCTTCGGCTCTATTTCCACCCAAAAACCATCAATATTTCAGGACTATTGCTCAGCCCAGGGTGGCAGAGATGGCCCCCTCTGTGTCTGAGCAGCAGCTTCCAGTTAAAAGTTCACCACAGAAAATTTGATGCCTAATAAATTGGAGCCTTCCCTGTTTTAAATCATTTTTAAACCACGATTGCGGCACAAAATATAATTATTACAAACTGGTCATTTGTAACAGAGAAATCTCATTAAAATGATTCCATGCTGGAAAGGCAGGTGGGAGGGGGAGGCGTGGGGGTGGCAGAGGCAGGCAGGGGTGGGAGGGCTGGAGGAACGGGAGGCCTGAGGAAGGCTGGGAGAGGGCTGGGGGATGCTCTTAATTACAGATTGATTATTTCTGGTGATTGAGCACAGAATATAATCAACTCAACATTTCCAAGCTACAGCAGAAGAGGCAGAGATAGGCAGGGTGGTGAAGATGGAGGAAACTTCTAGACTGTCTTTTATTCTGAGCAGAGCACCTGGCTGAGGGGCTGGGTTGGGGGCAGAAGCCAGGTGGCATCAGGCTCCCGTGTCAGACTACTGGTGTGTCCTTGGCCAGGGGGCTGGCTGCAGAGTTTGCCAGTGGCCGTGGAGCTGCATGACTCAGCCACAAAGGAAAGAGATACACCATCACTGGCAGAGTTGTGGCCTATTATCAGGGGGCAGGATGCTGGACCTGGTTCAAATCCCAGATTGGCTCCTCTTGAGATGGTCCCTGTGGGGAACTGATTTGCCCAAAGCACCTGAGCCTGGGTCCTGTGCCCCTAGTCCTACAGGCTATGGGAAGCCAAAGGCATATGGAAGTTACTTTACTTGGTACAGAGCAGCCTTTGGGAAATCTGTTGAATTTAAATCTCCTGAAAAAGTTTGTAAGATGTAGAAAGCAGCTGTGGAAACAAGCGTGACCCTCTTCAAAGGAGAATGTTAAAAACAAAGTACATTTCCTCCCAGGGAAGGTGTCAGGGTCCTGGGGGTCCTTATTCCACCGATGGGAAAGAAGGTCCAGCCCACAGAGAACCACCTAAGCTGGGTGTCTGGTGGCTGCTATGGAGCCAGCACTGGGCTCTGCGATTATGTGGTTGAACAGCAACTTGGATATTTTTTAGTAGGTTGTTTTCCGTTGTTGGGGCTGGAAATGAGGGCCTTGCACATAGTAGGTAAGTGCTCTATCACTAGACTTCAACCCCAGCCCCATCCTGGGCTTTTCACCCTCTTCTTTTGCTCTGGTAGGTGCCAAGAAGCCCTCAGGCCCACCTCCTCCACACGTCAGGAAGGCTGCAGAGGAGACCTGCCTGGGAAGGTAGAGGCAAGCTCAAAGCTTCCTTGTCCTGCCCCTCAGCTCCAAGGCCGCTAAGACCTATACCTTGAGCTCCGTATACCTCCTTCAAGCCTCTGCCCTCCAGCCGGCTTCTGTGGTAGTACTGTGATGGTCAGCTCTCTCCCTAGCTCAGCTCAGCACACCCCTCTGAGATTTAAGCAGGAACCTTTTTCCCTTCTCGCTCTCAGGAACCCCAAGTGGAAGCAACTCCCAGCCTTCTGCAATGTGGAGGGCTGTCGATAATCCAGGTATCCTTGCCCCTCCTTGAAGAGTTTTTGGAGTGTATGAAAACGATTCCCAGGAGAGAGCTGTCTTCACATCACAGCTTCGGGCCCCTGCCACAGACTCCCAATGCCCCAGCTTCTGTGAGCCCACAGAGCAAGGACAGATGATGTATGGTCATATATGCGACCCACGTATATCCTCTCCCCCCTGAAGCTTCCTGCAGACAGGGACAAAGGCAAAGATCTCCCTAGACACCCACAAACATACTGAGTGGAACTGTCTCTGTTTGGCCTTAAGTAGGTCACCTCACCTCTCTGGGGCTTCCTCTTCCATCACTTGGAAATGGTAATGACAAGTGTCCGCTTACTTTGGGGGGATAGTAGTAAGGTTGTGTCTATGACTGGCCCCAGGTCATAATGGGGGGACTGGGGTGAGTCCTCGCCTGGAATTTCTTCAGTCTCCCCATGAAGACCAGAGGAGTTGTCCAGGCTTGCCCACCCCAGATCTCCACATCCCACACTCCCTCTGTGACTGGTCAGTCAGCACAGCTCCTGGTGGGCTGGACAGGTTCCAGGGCAGCCATGAGTGGGTGGACATCCGGCGCTCTTGGAGGTGAGGCCTATTTGCATGTTCACATGACTGTGGGTGGCTGGACAGACAGAGGCCTCCCCTGCTCTGATACAGCTCCACAGCAGTTGGGGGTGGGGGGGGGACAGACCAGTCTGTGCAGTGAGGGTGGGAGCTGCCTGAGGGTTGCCAGGGAAACCATGGCTGTGGGAGCCCCCAGCCATTGGCCTCTTTACCATGGAGACAGTGAGCTGTGGGTAGCAAGGGTAATGGAACAGGTGGCCCCTGCCGTGGGCTTGGCAAACCACAGAGCAGCCAAGGCCTTCCCCAGGGGAGGGAGCAGCCTTGGGATCAATTTTCCGATTACAAAACCATGTTCAAATGTCAATCCTGTCTCTCCTGCTTGTGAGATTTTCCCCCTGCATTTTGTCAATGCGTCCCCCTCCTCTCTCCTGTTCCTGGCTTTCATTTCATGTGAGCACAGCCCTGGTCTTTGAAGAGTGAAATTTGGCAGCAGCTGAGTGCTGTGACCTCATCCTGTCTGGTGTTTTCGGGAAAGGATGCCTCCTGGATGAGGGAACGGTGCTTAGGGTGAGAGGTCTAGAAACCTGATTGTGGGTTCTCTAGATGTCAGACAGGTGTCCTGCCCAGTGTCGGGGTCTGGGGGGGCATGGGGCTCTTCTCCTTGACCCTGCCCACCAGCCCAGTTTATTACTATCTCTGAGAAAGACCATCCAATCTGCACCGGCCAAGTAGCAGTTTCCTGAAAATTCTACCAACTTCTCTCACAGCATCAATACTTCTCTTCTAATTCTCCTGGCTGTTTGAAAGCCAGACAGGGGCCTCACAGATGTGAAGAGTTCTCATCCCCAGTGCCCTGGACAAATGGCACCTCTTAGAAGGAGTTGGGCCTGCCATGCTGCTGTCCAGAGCCCACCAAGCCTTTCTCATTGCCATTAAACCCTTGCTCTGGACATCAGGGTTCATGAGAACAGAGAGGTGCCCAGGCCTGCAGAGAATGACTGATTCCTCTCCTCCTTCTCATCCCAGTCCTGTACATTGTCTTCTCTTCTTGCTCAGGCTCCAAGGCTATGTTAATTCAGAAGTGTTGGATTTGCTTCTAGTGATCCAAAGTCACTGGCTGTTTTTGCAGATAAGCAGAGAACTGAGAGCTACAGACCCACTGCACTCACTAGCCATCACTGTGGCCCATACTGCCTCCATACCCGCCTACCCCTCAGCACAGCGCTTCTTCCCT